GTGCCGGTGTCTCTCCCCGAGGTGCCGGTGTCACTCCCCGAGGTGCCGGTGTCCCACCCCGAGGTGCCGGTGTCCCACCCCGAGGTGCCGGTGTCTCTCCCCGAGGTGCCGGTGTCTCTCCCCGAGGTGCCGGTGTCTCTCCCCGAGGTGCCGGTGTCTCTCCCCGCGGTGCCGGTGTCTCTCCCCGAGGTGCCGGTGTCTCTCCCCGAGGTGCCGGTGTCACTCCCCGCGGTGCCGGTGTCTCTCCCCGCGGTGCCGATGCCGCCTCAGCATCGGTGCCGTCGAGGCGAGCGCTCATCCCCGCGGACCGCCCCGCCCCCGACCGGCTCGCCCGCCTATTGGCTGCGAGGGTGTAATTTGCATGTCGGCGCCCCGCCCCCTGCCGGCCCCGCGGGAGGATGCCCGGCCGCTGTCGCTGCCACGGGGAAAGTCCGCCCTGTGGGTGCCGGGAAGCGTGGGAGCCGTGAGCTGGCCCCTTTCTTCGCCATCATCCCCGTGGACGTCCCCTGACTTTTTTTTTGTTCTCGCCTCCCCGCCGGCAAGCGGGGGCTTTCCGACCCTGTGATTCTGTAATTCAAATTGCCGCTGCTTAGCATAAGGAAGATGCGCTTTTCGCTTCATGCCTCGGAGTACGGGTCAAATCAAGTCTTTTTTGTGCGTTGTGACTCTCTGGGGAAAAAAAACCCCAACACTTTCCCCATCATTCGAACTGAAAGAAAACCTAACAAAAAAATGTTTGGTACACATTTATTAATTAGCCACACAAGTAGTTACAGAGGTTATTCAAGTCTTCATGAGACAGGAAGTTTTTGCTTTTCTTGAAAATCTTGGACAATCTTGAAAATCCTCCTTTTTTCTCCTTTTCATCACAAATCTTGAAAATAATCTGAAAATTTTAAAATATAGAAGTTACTTTATTGTTGGTGCCAAAAAGTAGCCGAAAGAGCAACTGTACTTTCCTGAGTAATCATCAGTTATACAGCTCCAAAATTTCTTACATTGCATAAATCCCACCCTGGGCGACCGAGAACAATTTCTGTCATGATGAGAACAGTTGCAGAGATGTAGGAAGCTTACTCCTTCCTTATTTTCTATGCTGTTTTTGTGTCAGGAAAAAAAATGAAAGTAAAAAGAAAATATTTGAGGTTTTATGGTAAAAATCAGTTAAAAATATATCTGACAGAAAGGCTCTTTTACCTTGAAAAATCCAGGACTGCACTGGGCACTTTGCTGGGATTTTTCTCTTAGACCTTGATGCTGGAGACAAATTTAGGTGTGTGGGTCTCACTAGTTCTCTAAAACTACCTGAAGGCACTGAATTGTGAGTGGGTTTTCTCTTCCAGGCTGCTGCTTTGTGAGACCAGCTGCAGCATCGGTGAGCAGGCAGTTTTCTCCTCGCCAATGGACCGCAGAAAGCAAATGGGCCTTCAGTGTTGTTTGGTGTTGTTAATGCAGGCGGAGCTGAAAATAGAGCTGGGTGTTAACGTAATGTCATGGGTAATCAAAGGTACAGGCTCCTTTGCGTGGCATGGAACAACAATTACAAATTAACCCGCTGTTGTTGCAGCACAGGCAAAGCTATGGGTGTACTGACTGATGTGTCTGATGGTCCTGTCAAGAGCAAAATGTTAATCTAGAAACATCTGATATCTTCCCTGTAATTCATCTGGAGGATATAGAAGACCAAAGAGATGACTGTCAAGTCTCCCCTGCTTTGGCAGAGACTTCAGTAAAAATTTCAGTATCTGAGTAGCAGGCAAGGTAGCAACATTGTTAAAATATTACTCTTCTAAGAAACAAATGGAGAGCGAGAGAAATTTATTATTTCTACAGATTTTGCCACCTAGATTAGACGAGGTTAAAGAAGGTTCCAAATTCTCATAAAAACCTCACTAATAACACAAATAGCATGCTAAAAAAAAAAAATCCCACTATAGTTAAACAGGTAGCCTAAAAGTTATTGAGTGTATTATGTTGGTAGATCTTATGAAAGGTGCCCATTTGCATGCTGTTATGAGAAACAAAACCAGATGAGTCATTTGAAAAGACTGTTGTGTCATCATATGTAACAAAGACACTTGTTTTGGGTTATTATGCTCATTTCAATCTCTTCTGTAATAACATGAACAGTGTAGATTGATAATGGAAACGATTAGACAGAGGAAAATGATTTTCCAAAATAATAGATAAAGAATTCTCAGTCTTGTAATTTTATTGTTCTGTGACTCCTGAGCAGCATTATATACCAAGCTACAAAAGTAACATCATAATTTATTTTCACTTTCTGCTATCTCTGATTATAAGAGAAACACTTTGCAGTTTACCAGTAAAAGTAAATACTCAATTTACATAGATAAAGGCAGAAGTCATTGGTATTGGGATCACAGATGCCAATAAGTTTCTAAAGGAGTTCGGGAAATATAAATGTACTATACATCTGCAGACCGTAAGCCCCTCTTTCAGTTCTTTTTTCTTTTTCCTGAAGAGCTATTGCACTTTCTTGTTTCCTTAAAGGCTTCCAATCCTGACCTCGGTCTTAAGTGATTGCTTTGAATGAGCCAGGTTTTGCTTCCAGTTCTCTCATCTCTAGAAAGAGGACAGACATAATTACTTCCAGTTCTCATAAATGTGTAGTGAAAAGTAATATATAAACAAATTGTGCTCTCATGTATGTTAAAATATTGTCAGGATGTGTTATATTTCAAAGACAATTCACTGCATGAGGGAGACCCATCATCTTTCTGCTCTGGTGTGTGATGCTTCTAAAGACATTTCCAACCGGGAAATTGAGTTTCTTCCAAAGCCCAAGAAATTAGAAATTATGTGGACATGTAAATTTCTCTTTGCTAACACTTACCAACATCACAGGGCATCTGGACTCTAAATAATGTCAATTTTTGTGAAGAGCAATTTCACCGGGCAACTTCCATACAGGTGACATACACACACCTGCTTTTCTGGAGCTTACCCATCTCTAGAAAAGCATATTCGTACATATAATGTACTCATAACATCTGTACTAGTTTCAGTATGAAGTTATAGTAGTGTCAAGCTATAATAATTGACACTTGTGAAACCTTCAGCTGAAACAGAGCTAATTGCTACCAGTTCAGTTTTGTATCCTAGAGCCAGTTCTCAGACACATAAAATTCACGTACAATTTTCTGGATGTGCAGTACACATGAGTATCTTCTAAGCTAGAATCAGATCTGATGTAATCTAGCTCACATCTAGCTCAATCAAAGTAATGATTCATGGTCCTGGACAATTAACTTTTTTCTTTTTAACCTCATGGATCAGTAGAGTTATTCTGACAGTACATGATTTATCAATTGCCAAGGTGAGTTGAAGAGAGACACCAAAAGACTGATGCTAGAAAATTTTTTCACTATATTCATTTACCAGAGAAACTGAGTCTTCAGCTGTGGTACTTCCAGCTTGAGAGAGGTCCAACATTCCTGTTCTGCCTTTTCACATTTCATTGTAACCTCTCACAAAAGATACTGGTGTTACGAACAGCTTCATTAATAAGTGTTGCTGATGTAAAGAGATTCTCCTTGGTTGCATGAGCAATAGAGTGCTGAAAAGAATTCAGAAGCCAAGTATCACCACAGGTAGCTAAATCCACCTTAATTCTTTGTTGAAGCCCATGGGAATATTTGGATTTACACAGGGATAACATAGTGCTCTAGGTATTGAGCACTGCAGATGTTTTTCTTCTTGCTTTCCTTTTCTCCCCTTCATTAGGAAGGAAGAAGACTGCTACAAAAGGATGGAGTGCTGAAAGCTGTGCAGATGTAATTGCTGTGGAGTCAGAAGATGCCCTGTGCCAGGGCCCTCGCTCTTGCTTATTTAGGAAAGGATTTAACATTCTTCTCCAATTATGTCCCAAAGGCATGTGAAGCCAGCCCTGGGTGTATTGCCCCTGAATTCCTTGTGAACCACAACTTGGCACTCATGTATGGCTCTGAAAGTTCTTTACCCATAAACGAGTTCTTAATCTAGTTAGGGTTGTATGAAATGCCAGATTGGAAACACAAGAAATAGCCCTGGGACTTCTTCATTCAGAGATGATGGCAGATGCCAGAATGTTTTCTTAAGCTAGTAACCAATGAATGAACAAGTTCAAAATGTTTTCACACAATAGTTGTAAAAAAACATAGTTAATTGGAGCCATGGAACAATACTGATTTCTGGGAACAGAAGGCTTGCTTGATTACCAAGACACTGGATTTCTCTGCTATTATCACAGGTTTTGAATGCAAGAGCCATAGCCCATATGTATAACTTGACAAAGGTCCTGTCACATCAGCTGGCCTAATGAGAAGCTTTGTCTAACTCTGCTCCTGTGTTTCAGTAAAGGTGTGCATTCTAACTCCTGCTATCGGACAGAAATGAGGTACATTTGCATGTCCGTACACTGAGACTGGTTAACAGGGAGCACTTTGCAACCTGTCAGAGCAGAGACAAGGACATCTTTATGTCATTCAAGAGGGATAAAAAAGCGAGGAGAGGAATGCACGTAGCAGACAATCTGATTTGGGTATAGTCCCAGTAACAGCAGATTCTAGGGCAAGTTCATATTGCCAAAAACTACCTGTGCTATTTTCCCCTCATCACTACTCCCTGAGCAGGAAATGGCCAGGCTGTGTATTAGGTATGAAGGCAGAAGTACCTAGGCAGTAACAAAAAGAGGTTTTTTTCTTCCAGAGGTTAAAAGCCTGAGATGGTTTAGAAGGCAAAGAATAAATAGACTTTCACAAAGAGAGCTATTGTAAAATGAGGACATTTCCATAGCTTTTTTGGAGCATCCTTTTCACATTAGTCATTCAAATAAAAGGTGTTGTTTTCACCAAGTTTTGATAAAATAAAAGAATTCTATCCCAGAATCGTGTGAACAGAAATTTTATACAGCCATGTTGATGGATCACCTTATTCATGCTGCCAGTGCTTTTCAACAAGCAATATAACATCCAGAAAGTGGTTGGGAGCCTGCCCAAAGTGCACAGGGAGTTCCTGTACCATACAGACTACCTTCTTCTGAAGGCGTGCTGCACATGTGGAAACCTTACGGGTGGCTTTGTGGCTAGATCTAAATATGTTGTGTTAGACCTTCCCAAGGGTAGCATGGTAGTGACATGCTGCAGATATGAGAAGATAAAGCCAAGTTTTTGTTTAGCTGAAGGTGAGGGAAAAATTACTTGGGATTATTTAGCTGAGAATACACAGCCAGGGAGCAATTTGTTTCACAGCCCAGTAAGGACCAATTGCTGCCTGGAATCCTCCGTGAATGGCAAGGCACATGGTCTCTAAGCAAATTGTACGTGACATTATGTGATACAGTAACAGCGTGATAGATTTCGTTGGAATGAAACAAAATCACTGCTGATGTTTGCATGTTTTAGCTGAAAAAAAAACCAAAACCAAAAAAACGCCCTAAAAATAAATTGTGCTCGTCAAAGTAGAAGGGTATTTGTCAAACACCTTGCAAAACTTATTTGAGAAAAGAAAAGGCTTATATTTTATCTTTGAAACCTGTCTGATGGCTGTGGCAAGTATCCCAGGATTCTGCAAGGCAGCTGCTCCCAGCCTTTCTTCAAGCCTCATAGATAAGAAATGCAAGGCCAGGAAGTACTGGGGGCACTGAGCAGCTGCACAGCAACGCCACGGGAGCACACGGGTCTCCTTCCATTTACCCCAGCCAGGGAGTATCTCGGTACACGAAGCCTCTGTACGTGAGAGGTGAATAAGGCAGAGGGGCAGCTGATCACCTGCACTGCTTTCACACAGCTGCCAGCTCTTGATAGATGGAGCTGCCTTGGTGGTTATTCACAGAAAGATCAAACCTGCCCAAATCTTCTGGGCACCTGGGTGGGTTCCAGGTGCTTCCAGCTCTCCCCAACTCACCCTGTGCTAAGAGGAGGCAACAGATGAGAGGGAGGCTCTGCAGCAGCCAAGGGGTACAGTCATCTTTCCATGAGCAGCAGCTATTAGCTTCCAGTTAATTTAATGTGCATCCATTAGGATGCAGCTGGGCACTGGATATATTAAATATATCCTTTAACTTCTGGATCTCTGAAAACATCAGATTCTGGCCTTTACATTTGCCAAGTTCATAACTGAGTAAGCAAAGTGATCATGGAAGCCCCAACAGATGAACCAAAACCAGAGCACACAGCCCCTCTTTCAATTTGTCAATCAAGAGAATGATTTGGTCTGTAATTCAGTTTTTTACACACACACACACACACACACACACACGCACATATATATATACACACACACACATGCATTTCAAGTTACATCTCTGTGTAGGTTGTGTACTGCTGTGGCAGAGAAGAAGGACTGCACTGTGCATACAGTCTCAGTTCTTCTTTCTGCCTTGTACTCTCAGCTTCAGCAATGCAACCTAGCCTGGCCATACCTCTTGCTAAGCTGGATAAGTGTCCACTAGGAATAATTCAAGTTTGGCTGATTTTAAATTGAGGTAGGGAGTGGATTAGATTACTTCCTGAAATTTATTTAACCTCATTTTTTAAATCTTATTGACACATGTCAAAGATATTTATAGAATATTTATATATTCTATATTCTCTATATATTCTATATGTTTGTAGCAATACAAATATTAATATACACTAAAACAGAAGACTACATCTTCAGAGGGGTAAATCAGTTCTACAGAATTCAAGCCAAATGTTGGAAGTGGGTATTTTTTATTAAGATAATAAACAGTTGCAATGATACAGTAAAAATTTTGACAGATTACAAAAAATCTATTAATAGCATAATAAAAATTATTGTAAGGTAAATCTGGTACTGTTCTTTTATTCCTGAGAAGGTAATTCACTTTTTTTTTTGATAGAAAATTCCTTCTGGAAATATCCGTCATCTACTATGCCTTTGTGCCATGACTACCAACATAAACCTTGCTTCTTGGCCAAGGTCAGCAGGCAGTCCCCCCCAGAAATAGCACACAGACAGGGGACAAACACAGAAAACAATGCTCCACACTTCTTATGCTACATGGCTTGGAACCACTGGTTTCATTGCAAACCTGGTAGGCAGCACTAGCAGAGTTACACCTGTGTGTTACAAGGATGTTAAACACAGTTTTCGTCTTACAGAATAAATTTTTACAATGTGATAAAGGAAAGAAAACCCAACTAACATTTAATTATACAAGGGAAAATCCTACATAAATAATAATTTTAAATACTGACCATATTTAATGTTAGCTACAGCATATACAATTGCTGTGAGTAAAAATTTGGTGTGAATTTAAAATGAAGTATAACTTAACAAAATAATTCAATAGCAGAGAAACAAAATTAATATACAGAAGCAAATTTAATATATTTAATGTTAAATAATTTTAAAATTGTGATTAATATACAACAACAAATTTAAAGTTCACCAATAATCAGTACTACGTTTAGAATACACCTAGAGAAGTGAGTCTTTACTTAATTTCAAATAGCACTGAATACCTGCATACCAAATTTCCACATGCTCACTATCTGAAGATGCCAGGAGATAGACACGTCAATTTATGATGAAAAATGTTTCTATTTTGTGACATGGCA